TTGAGCCAAGTATAAAGGTCCTATACCCAATTTAAATACCCCAAAAAAAATCCCTAAAAAGTATTGTTTTTTAACCCCATTTTTGCGATTTTTTCGATTTTTACCATAATAATCATGATCCATTCGATTTGTAACTAGTCATGTTTTGTAAAAAATTTAATTATAAACATTTTTTGCCTCTTCCATTTTCGCCTAAAATCAACTCTTGAAAAGATACATAATTAAATAGGAAAAAAATATGACATTTTTCAATTTTTTTTTAACATATTGTGCCGCCAAAAGTTAAGCCCACGTTTTTTTATGCGCATAGAAAAATTTTCATTTCTAGTGATATTTGATAGCTAAAAAGCCAAAAATCTCCGTGGATATACGATTCACCCAAATATGGCTTTTTGAAACAGATACCGTCTGAACTATTGCTCACTAGAAAGCCATTGAATTTGGTAACTTTTTTGTCTCTTGATATTTTTTTGGTAAAACGCATGTTTTCGAAAAAAATTGGCGAATCACGATATGCACTCGATCACATGTTGCCATTTTTCTCGAAAACATTGCGTTTTACGAAAAAAGTGTCAGGGGTCAAATAAGTTTCTAAATTCAATGGCTTTCTAGCGGACTAATGATTTATAAGAAATTCAAATTTGCGGCCAAATTTTTTGTCTCCAAAGACCACGAAAAAGTGACTTAGGGGGTACCCCGCCAAAAAGCATGGCACTATCAGATTCTATATGTCATAAAACCCCTGTGTACCAAATTTACGTACAACAGGGTTCTGAGATATAAAAAAAGACTATCCTTAGGGGTGGATTTCGAGGGGCGGCAAATCCGAAAGAGGGGGTCACTTGGCAAAAATAAAAAATTGGGGTCCCCTAAATTTGTCTTAAGAATCTGTGATCAAATTTTGTTGCATTAATTTCGGGACACCCTGTATAATAGCAATACCTACGTTACTATTTGTCCCCTCATTAGTAGAGCGCAAAATTTTAATCGTATAGAAGAGCGAGTAATATTTTTCGAAAATAGTTGAAATAAATTTATGTAAGCTCATTCTCACTTAGTTGTGTTAGGTATAAGATTTATTAAAAAATTAATAATAATCAATAATATACGGGGTGATTCACAGATGGTGATCAAAAATGAAACCTCGTATTTTTTGGTGAATTTTAAGGGGAATCTTTTCTATAAAGCTTTTATCTAGTACGCTTCGTTAAAAAGATAAAGGGTGTGAAACTTCAAAAAATATTTTTAATTTTTTTAAATAATTTAAAAACTTGTAAGGGAAATAATTTGAAATTGGACACATGTAAACATTGTCCAAAATTTAAATATCATGGTTGTTACCGTAAAGCAGTGGTGTACTATTTTATTTAGAAAAAAAAATGTATCACCGATACCCTGTATCTCCGCCACTGGGGCATGTAAATTTTAGGAAAAACCATCAGATTGTGACCAATGTTTATATAAATACGTGTGCCCAATTTCAAATTATTTCCCTTACAAATCTTTAAATTATTTAAAAAAATTCAAAATATTCTTTAAGTTTAACACCCTGTATGTTTTTAACGAAGCGTCCTAGATAAAAACTTTATACGAAGAGTCCCCTTAAAATTCACCAAAGACTAAGAGGTTTCATTTTTGTAACCAGTTGTGAATCACCCTGATTATAATATAAAAAACCCAGTAATAAATTAATAAATTGAACCTAAAACCACAGACAAAGAGGTGATAAGCTATATTGTCTGTGGTAAAACGTTATTTTATTTTTCTTCAACGTATTCGACATAGTTCAGGATCAGTTGTACATTTCAAAATGAAAATATTAAGATTTTGCCTCAACACTTTATCTCAATAATAACAAGAAATCATACTAAAAGTCTGCACTATATTAGTTTTCTATTTCTTAGGTTCTTATATCGTTAATGTTATTTTCATTTGCTTTTCAACAGAATATCATATCCCCTCTATTGTGACCCTGAAGAAGATAGAGCCATCAGAAATGCACCATCACCATCCGTCAGGATTTTTCCCTAACCTCAAAAAATAGCTCAAAATTAGTAGAAATCTTGATTTTGAAAGTACACAGACGTGTTAATAGGGTCAAAATAAAAGCTTTTCATTTCTGCACTATTTCTTTTAAATGCCTTGTAGGGTTACGGTAATTTCTAGCCAATTTTGAGCATTATTAAAATGCAAGAATAAAACGCTTTATTTTGACCCTACTAAGGAGAAATCCTGAAGCGATGGAGTATTTCTGATGGCTCCTTTGTCTTCAGCGGGTCAAAATACAGAGCATCATACACTGTTAAAAAATATAAGATTTTTTTTATGTGTCTGTGTAATCAGTGTGTATAAATGTTACGATTTTCATTAATTTTTTATTATTATTAAATTAAAACGACAGAAAAAGATACGTATAAAGTCGTCTACATCTGATAACATTCAACCTCAACTTAGATATGTTTGACCTGTAATTTATTATATTAAAAATATGTTTTGTTATATTTTGTTTTAATTTATATATCATCATAGATTGCTATAGACGTTATCAAGATTATCGGTCGCTGACGCAGCAACTCGGCATTGAAATATTTGAAAAACTTGTTCCCATATTTATTTAGCCATACCCATATACAGCGTGGTAAAAAAGTTCTGCATAAAATTCATATTTTCGTTAAACAATTTTTTTTTCGAAAAACGGTGAGACCCTTCGATTTTTATTTGATCCAGGGCACCTTGTTAAGTGGAAAAATTTTGTTTTCGATAATCCACTTACGGCAGCGATGACATAATTTTTTTTTAAACGACAACGCATATTTTTTTGGTTCGAAATTGATGACAGTGATAATTATCTAAACAACGATGTGAAAATTTCGATGTCTTACATAACAATTTTTTTTAGAAAAATGCACCTTAAGTTCTTATAAGTGATAATTGTCTACTTACACTATTAATGGCTCCGAAAAGGACAAAGTTGACAAAATTACATTTCAAACGAGTAAAATTACACTAATGTTTGTGTAAGTCTAGCGAAATTGTTCGAATTGCCCACCCTGTACCATTTGGCATTGTCCTAAGCGTGTGTAAACGCCGTCTACACTTCGTTCAAGCATTCCCGGGTCGATTTGATTTATTTCAAAACGAATACGGTTTTTAAGTTCTTCCAAATCACCTGGTCTGTTTGTGTACACACGCGATTTCAAATAGCCCCACAAAAAAAAGTCTAGAGGTGTTAAATCAGGCGAACGCGGAGGCCACTCGATTGTTCCGCGTCGCCCGATCCACCGGCCAGTAAACGTGTTATTCAAGTACTCCCGTACTTGCACTCCATAATGGGGCGGTGCACCATCCTGCTGAAACCAAATTCTTTCCTCAGGAATATCAGGATCCTCGTTGTTCGGGAATAACTCTGCTAAGCTTGGGACCAAATCGAACCGCAGGAAATCCAAATAGCGAGCAGCAGTTAAATTTTCCTCGAAAAAATACGGGCCTAAAATACGACGCCCTATTATTCCCGCCCAAACGTTCACCTTTCGGGG